CGGCTGAAAGATGATACTAAGCTTGCCATGGTGGTTACCTACCGCTCCATATACCCGCAATGTCTTGGTAGTCTCCGCACAACCCAGGTGCTAGTAGTACTCTGTTTGAATAGCCTGGTGAATTGACTTTGCCGGATAAAGTAAACGCCTAATAAAAGCTGGCTTCATACACGCAAAAGTATAATGGAAGGTTGCCCGGTATACTGAAACAGCAATGATATCGTTAACTGAGCTGTTGCATTTACCGCTCACAGGGTAGTTATGGCAGCTACAAGCACGGAACAGTCCCTTCTTTGGGTAGATAGGGTAGCATTGATCGTCCTCGCGTGCAAGACTGTACTCGGGCAAAAGGTGGATTCGCTGTCCACAAAGCAGACGAATAGAAGATCCGCCAACAGCAACTATGGGTATGAGATATTGTATAACACTCTTCACTGAATTTGCATTGTTTGGAGTACTACTGCAAAAGATCGCCGACGAACCGTCAAAGGATGGTTTAGCCACCACCTCGGCTGCTGTAACACTGCCTCCCTCCCAGCAGGCTCGCCTACAGTATTAGGCAGTGCAAGGACAGTTGGAGGAATATTATGCCGTTTTGCTCTCGTAACTTTTTTCCCTCCCTCTTCTGGCTGTCATATGATACAAATATCATACGCCTAACGTGCCGAGCGAAGGAGCGTTGCTAGAACCAACAGCAAGACGGGCGGAATGAAACATCAGGTCTGTATAGTAGGTATTAATATTGCGCGCAACAAGTACGTAGCTGTACTACTCCGGATGAGTAACATTGGCCGAGGCTGTGGACAAGTTCCTACATAACCTAATGCGCGGGGCCAAATCAGGGCATGAGGTATCCTGAAAAAAAAAAGACCTGCGGTAGATTTGCCGCTCTAAACATGTGAGTATGTACGCTTGAGCTGCAAATCCGGGTATGAGAATTTCATGGCTGGCCTAGGTTCGACCTTTGAACGACGGGTTTTCTTTCTTTCCAAAGCGGCAAATGGTGTGCACAGGCCATAGCGAATTTTTTGGATTGGCCGACCAAGAAACTTGGGCGCGCCACGTAACAAAACCACACCCTCAAGCCGTCTTCTCAAGCCATTCTTGCTGTTCTCAGGGACCCCACTCCCATGCCAAGGAAGCGACGAGGCATCCCTGGCCGCCGTCTGCTCGGGATAAATGTTGATTAACTAACCTTCAGTTGGAGAAGCAGGTGGGATTGTCAGCCGATCCCTTGCTATCGCGGAACGCGACTGGCTAGTATACGCAAGTGTCTATAAAGAGACAGAGTGTGTCAACTGCAGAGCTGAACGAATTTGTGGCCAACTGACCCCATCAAGGGACCTGTAAGTATGAGTGTCCGAGATGCCAAGTGAAGTGGCTGCAGTCAAAGGCCTCTGCACGTTTCTGATCTGATTGCTACAGATGCCGATCAGTGAATGGCCAAAGCCCGTAAGCTTGGGTCGATATTCAAGGTACAATGAGTTCAATATCTCACTTGAGATGTTTCGGATTCACTGATCCATGGCGCACCACTGTACGTGATAATCTGCAGTCGCTCCCACCCACATGGTTACACCACTGCAACCGCCGGTTCCAATAATAACCAACCCCAGAAGGTCGGAATGCTTGCCGAGCTCATCATTTTTAGTGCGCCGAACACCCTGTCGAGAGATCCTTGAACTTTTACGTCTGGCGACCCTTGTAATGTGACCTCAGGCTGTTGTAGCGAGAAGCAGGAAGCGCTTGTACATGTACGGACAGGAGACCCGCAGCTCATGGGACTTTTGGTTGTCTCAGCCCGGCTCTTGTGCACCATGGCCCCAAGAAGAAGCACTGACTCGCAGTATAAACCACACACCAGCTTGGTTCTCAACGACCAACGTACTTGACATTCTTCAACCAACGTGCGGTTTTTTTTGGTGGATATATTTTTAGGCAGATATCATGGTCCAACAAACAGTTACACTGGCCAGATTGCTGCTGCACAAGAGGATACTGGCAATATCGGCGTGTTCAAGAGTGCGCTGTGCAGGGAGTAGCCCGGGTTTTTGCGATGCTGCAGAGTGCCTCTGGGCAGAGTGCCTCTGGTGGCAGTGCCGTCCGTGTTGGTGCGCGAATGCACTCGTACTGTATCCGAACCGACCATGGCCGGGCCAGTGAAATATGGGTTCGGTATCCGCGGAATTAATGCGTGCTGTGGCTTAGGACTCGACTCTGATGCCGCTGCTGCACATGCCGGCAGTAAGGTGAATCTCGCCCTTTGTCTGCGTTGAGCCTCTTCGTCCATCGAGTGCTCGATCTGCCGGGCTGTAAGGGGGCGCTGGGCGTGTGTGTAGCGAGGCGAGGCGAGGCACTGGGCCGCCGGCAAAGGTCCAAGTGCTATCGATTTGTAATACGGTGGGTATCGAGATGCCACGAGCCGTGGCGATTCGTGCCAGCTCAAGAAGAGTATAAGACGAATGTGATAGGTGGAAGGCTGTTGAGTGTGTCGAGGGATAGGCCCCGGACCCTGGCAGCGCGAGAGGTGAGAATCAGGACGGAATTACAAGTATACGCGTACTCGTACTTCGCGCAGGCAGTGAGATCGGCTCTCGTCGTTTTAGCTTCTGATGGCCGGGTTCGTGCCTTCCAGGTGTCTCGCTCCCGGCACTTGCTCCTTCCAGCACGAGCCTCCCACTGCTACATCACTTCCCAGTACCTGCCAACCTAGTACCTATAGAAGCGGGCAGTATCAAGCGAGACCCTGTGCTGCTGCTGCTGACAGTGCACACCATAAGTACACACACGTAAGGTAAGACACAGCCAGCAAGTTGCCTCCAACGACGAAAGGAGCAATAAGCCTTACCTTATCTTCCAGTTCGTTCGTAGTGCTATGCTAGTCGTAGCTAAAGTAGTACAACCTGTAAAACATCGAATTATGGTGGCAGTCGCGGCTGCCCGCCCTGCTACCTTCTCTATTTCGGCTAAAAGACGCACAGCAGAGTCTACAGGCCGATAGTACTTGCTATACTACATGTACAAGTACAGTATGTACAGAAGATAACAGAAATTATAAATTAAATCCCAAGTGCTAAGGTGCTCCATCCAAGTGCCTGGCAGATCCTCTCGCGTCCTCCACCGTCAAAAGTGCCATCTCCGTGATGCTCCGTCCATCTCCCGTTCTTGCTGCTGCGTTGCCTCCTGGAATTTCCTCTGCGGGAGTGACAGGCAGTCCGGCAAGAGGGTGTGTGCGGTGCGGCTGACTTGCGTCGCTTCACCCATGTCGCTATGCGCACGCCCTTCCAGCCACGGCAAAAGGTGGTGTGCGCACGCAGTTTCCGTGGGTGCGCGCGCGTGTTCTGCTGCTTCTTTTCTGCGCGAACCACGCCGCTGTGGCTAGGCCTAGTCAGCCATCAATCCTTTTAGCGCGCAGCCAGGATGCCCCATTGAGTATCAAGACCGCATCTTCCCTGGCCGGAGCTGGCCTTGGCCCTCGTACGGACGCCAGCCACAGTCGACAAATCTCCTAGCAGAGGCTTTTTGGGAATACCGTGCCGCTGCCAGACCGGTGCCCTTCCTGCAAGTACTCGGACGGCCTGTCCAGCCTAGTCGTGTCCTTAATTGCGCCGCGAAGAGGTACGGATCCTGTGTCCGGCAGTGCAAGGCAGCTCGCACCATTGCAGCAGCTACGGTGCATAGCGGCGCCTCATGCCGTGAAACCTCTCTGCCGGTGTCTTGCCTCAACCGGGCCAGGCTGATGAGGCTTACAGTATGGCCGGGAATGACGCTGGCCAGCTAGGCTGCCGTCATGGGCTGCCAGCACCTGAGCATCTCATCGTCGCTCGGGCCCCCAGAGAACGGCCCCCCATGATGGCATGACGACGATGGGTCCGCTGTCTGCTAGCACGCCCAACTGTGCGCTACTGGATGCTCGTACCAAGTGCTATTTGTGCGCATTGGATTATACCGCGCGTACCTATAGGTGCTCCAGTGCATCTGCACCCATGTTCATGGCTGTGGTCCCGGTCTGTAGGGCCGCGGCAACAACAACGGGGTGGACCATCTCGCACGTGTGGCAAGGTGGGCTGGACGCTCCATGTTCATAAGTTCAGGTCCGGAGCGGCACTATCGAATGGTCCTTTTGGGGCTTCCTCCAGGCCATGGACCCTCCGGCCACTTTTGACTCGAGACTGATACCGACCAACGACCTGGCTAGCCAGATAGTTATTTGCCTTGTACCCACCCAGCACCACCAAGGCGTGCGCTTGCTGTCTCGATACAGGCCTCAGCCGTGTCCGGCCCATTGGTAACTGCCCTTGTTGGTCTCGTTTGGGGTTGCTTCGGTGTATCTGTTCCCCTTCTGCCGTTCACTTCACTGGGTCCTGCTAGCTCCCCTCGCCTACCTTGTCCGTCTCTCGGGGACTCTTTTTTTGTGGGCAGCAGTGGCTCAAATCTCAAAAGCCACTGATACCCTCCTCCTCGCCTCTTCACCCACCCGCATCTTCCCCATCTTCTCCCCAGATTCAGCAGCTGGTACTAGTAACCGCCGGGCCATTTATCTTGACCTTTTCTTAAAAAGCAAAAAAACAAAAAACAAAAAACAAAAAAAGAAAAAAAAAAGTTCAGCCCTGTTGGCCTTTGGTTTTGTTTCTTCGTCATCTTGCTTGCTTCGTTTCCCTGGCTGGAAGAAGAGTTATAGACTGGATTGACCATCTGATCACTTACAAGCCTCTTTCACAACAACTCGAATCTGAATATTTTACTCACTTGACCATCGATCTTGTTTCTGGGCCATTCATCTGTCGTTTGTCTTTACGGCTCCGCCACTCGTCTGGCAGCCTTCTCCTTTTAATCCTGTGGAACAATCCGAGGGGAGTATTTTTTTTTTCGGACGCCTATCAGCCAGCCCTTGGTCGCTAGGCACTCTCCTTCCCTCTTATTCCTCTGGTTTCCGGGATATGCGATTTAAGCAGCTGCTGTCATCTTAAGAAAAAAGGAACAGTGGCATATTCTCCCCGATGGGTGGATTACCAGCTCTAGAGTCTTTGCATCGAGTTCCGCCGCCGGATACCCCCCCTGAACTTATAAGTCCAAGCGCAACCTCATTTTCTTCCAGGTCGTCTCCTCTAGAAGAACAAGCAGTCTGGGCACCTCGCGCTTCGGTTTCGCTCCCTCCTGCTTCCATGTCCCACTATGGCAAAGCCTCCGTCGATATGTCTTCTGAGAGTAATGCAGAAGGTAATCGAGGGCGACAAGAATCGGTTGGCAGTTCGTCTGTCCGACAACAGCTTCCGTCGCTAAGCAGCCTTTTTGGCCCCCCAGTGTCTTTGCGGTCCCTCAGCTCGCCACAGACGGAGCGCCCTGGCCTTTATCCTTCGCCTTCCCCCTTGGACAGACCACGACTCTCGTCGAGTGGAAATCTCTCCTCCTATTTCCCGCAAACCACTTCCTCTTCTCTACCGCAACCGCGAAACTCTTACGATGTTAAATACGACCACCACGACAGACAAGCCGCTCACCCTCTAACACCGTCCTTTGCTGGACCGCATTCGTCTGAGTACCCAGATCACGGCCACAGGGGCTCGGACGCACGTTACGAACCAGAATTAACCAGGAAGTGGTCAGTCTATCGTGAAGATGGGAGACAGGAATATCCTGTAGGATCACGAGACTCTTTGTCATACTTGCCCCCCCAGGACAAATTCCGGCCTCAGATATCTGCACCCAAAGATTCAGTAAATGACTACCCCGAACGTCGACTCAGTCAAGCAGTACACAGCTCGGATACTAACGCGCCCTCGGTTTCGGCTGCTGCCGTTACTGCCGATATTGCTGTTTCTAAAGATGGCCTGGGACCGAAAATTTGGACAGGCACACACTTCCTCCCGAGGTTTGTGCGAGCAGCCGAAGTACCGGGTGAAGGGATGTGCTACTTCTACGACGATGGGAGTCATTGTAAAACTGTGATTGATGGCGAGGCGGTAAATGCCCACTGGGGCGTGACCAAGGCGGGGAAGCCTCGAAAGCGGCTGGCTATTGCATGCGTAACTTGCCGGGAGAAGAAGATCAAATGCGATCCTGATTATCCTCGATGTGTCCAGTGCGAGAAATTTGGTCGCATCTGCAAGTTTAAGAATGCGTGAGCATCCCTATACATGTATTCATTTCCAGAGACCTTGCTGACATTAATCTAGACCAAGGGGGGGCCATAATACTTCACCATCGACTTCACCTATAGAGCTTGATGATGGCCGGCAGCACAACGGCTCACTTGATGCCGGCGACCTTCGACGCTCAGTCAGTGACGCCAGCTCTCCCAGATCACCCCGCGCCGGAATGCATGCAGATTCCCCAGATAGGGGTTACGGCAAAAGGCTCAAAATTGGCACTGAGGCGTACATCGCTAATGGCGAATCTCCTGCCTCATTCAATGCTGTGATGGATTATCCGAACCCACGAATTGCTGAACAACAGCCTTTCCCCGAGCCAACTAGAATTTCTGATGAGGTTCTTAGCCGTGCTTGGCGGACAGACCCCTTTGCATCGAATCCTCACTTGATCACAAGCGCTTTGACTAGATTCTTCGCCAACGTCGATAGCACCATGATTCTGCAATTTCTTCCCGAAGAAATCTTCAAGTATTGGGTCATTACCTCCGTTGACCGCAAAAGCCCCGAGGATTTGATGCTGCTGTACAGCATGCTCGCCGTTGGTTCTGCGCTCTGCGGTGACCCCAAGCATATTGCCTATGAGTATGCTCAAGTAGCGCATTATGCGCAAAAGATGACGGAGATGCAGTGCTTGCAACTAGTACAAAGCAGGATTCTCCTTGCCGTTTACTATATATCGACTTGCCGCACTAGGGAGGCCGATGAGCTAGTTGCTTCTGCGGCTGCCAGCGCAGCTTGTCTGCAGCTAAGTCTGGAGCTCAATCACTCTAGGGAGTCATCTATGACCACTTTCCCCCTAGGACTTACCAGGATAACCTATGCTGAATCACGCAAGAGGACATTCTGGTCACTATTCATGCTGGAAAGGCTTAGCGGTCTTTTCCCAGAGAGGCCAGTAATGCTCAATGCAGAAGATATCTATGTGCAGCTTCCTGCCGATATCCACAGCTTTGAGAAGGGAATTGAGGCGCAATCACGAAGCTTCGATCCATATGAGCTTATTAGAACCGCTGAGCAACACTCCGACACAGCTGTCGCTGGCTATCACATCGAAATGGTGCATATCTGGTCTGACTGCCAAGCTACCATTTATAGAATGGCTCTTAGGAGAACTCCTCTAGAAGCAGAAACCATAAAGCTGCAAGCTCTCGTCGAGAAAGCCGAGAAATGGAACTCTTCTTTACCCTCTCGTATGACATTCGGTGGGACAAACCTTGAGGCCGCTGCCTATACTAGAAGCATCGGTACTTTCCTCAGTATGCATCTTCTTTATCACCACACTATGATTGAGTTGAATCGCCATCGGCATGGGGCCAACCAACTACCCAAAGATGTGCAGATGGAACACTCAGCCAAGTGTCGTGACCATGCAAGCAGCGTTATTGACATGCTGAATTGTCTTGAGCGTATTTTGAGGGTTCGACCTACGTTGTTGAGCATCCCTCCTCCTGCCATGGCCATTGTCGTCACAGAAGCTGTCGACGTCTTGACTGCAGGTGGGCCCATGACAGTCCTGGGAGAGTTGATTGACCGGGTTCGAATTGCAAAGTCCGCTGTTGACAAGATGACTGGCGTCTGGGGATCATCTTCAAAAGACCGACAGGCGATTGACCGGCGCCTTCAGAAATTGAATCGAATCCGCGAACAGGGATCACGATCCCCGAGCCCTATCCAGGGTTACCGCCTCCTTCCTCTCTCAGAAGAAGCCAGAGACAAAGAGAACAGCCACTGGCAGATTTTCGATCCTATTGAGGACACATTCCCTAAGGACATGGATATGATTTACATTGCACTTGATTAGATCAAGACCAGACAAAAATTTTTTTTTTTTTTTTTCACCTTTGATTCTACGAGGTACAGAAGCGAGTTATTTTTGCTTGTTTCTTTTCCACATGTATATTTTACCTTCTTCTTCTACCTCCACCCCCCCTTCGTGGCTTTTTTCCTCTATTATTTTTTCCTTTCCTTTCTCCTTTAAGCTTTGATTTGGCATTGGCATTGGAATTGGAATTATATAACGTGTTATGGCATAATTTAGCGTTTTAGACAGCTGCCCATTTGGGCAGATTAGGAGGCATCAAGATCAGGGCAACTTGAATCGGATGACACAGGATGAGGAGTTTGGAGCATTCGATATATCAAGGAGGTCTTGATGAAGAATCTTTATGTTGACTGGGAGGCTACAAAATCTATATGACGTGTCACGTTTGATGTCTGTATCTATATATAAACTACACTGCAAGTTATAAATGAATAAAGATCCCAGAATTACTCGTCTATTTTGTTGCTGTGGGAGTCCAAGAGTTCTTCTGTAAACACTGCTGCGATGATCCTAAAGTTCAGTCCCAGTCACCATCTCATCAGCCTCATCAGTAATTATGTGCTTCAAGCGGCAGAGAGACAACACCTAGGCCGTCTGATAAAGCCTTTGAGGCAACTAAGAGTTCCGATCAAGAACTCCTCCACAGACAACACATGGCTGGGGCATAAATTGGTAGTAGAGCTTTCGAGCTTCGTTGAAAATATGATGTTCTGGTTGAAGGAAAACTACATAAAAGCTCTAGAGGGGAAACTCTCTCTGTATTAACAAAAAGGCTAAGATTAATGTACAAAGAAAAGTACTAGACAGAGAGTAAACTTAGGCAACTTGATGAGAAGCGGTAAAGTAGTTACTGTTTTTGTTTATTACTTTTTTGTCTATATTGTTTTATAGTTTTCATTTAATCCATTTCCAAGCGCCCATACATACAATCTTTATTTTCTTATTCTTCTTTACTTCTTTTTCTTAATTTTAAGCCTCCTAGAACCAATTTCCTCACTCAAAGAACTTGCAAAAGGAGAGCGAATCAAGGTCATCCAGGAATGGCTATACAGAATTGAATATATCAAGACCTTTGCTAATGCTGAAATACTAAGCTTTGTGGTTATGAAGTTCTAACAAAGGAGCTGGCAGCAGGAGAGTTGGCATTTTTTGCATCGATATCAGGCCCTTGAGGCGGCAGATTATGGCCTTTCCTCTACCAACTTCCTAAAGCCTGCGCACGACTCTGGTAAATTTGTGTGATTCACATGTGCGCTTCCGAGTTTGGACGAGCCGGCAGCACCGCAGACAATATTAAACAGATAATTATCGGCGTCAGCCGAGAAACAAAAACTCTAACTCTAACTCTTCTTGGAGAGGTGAATGATGTCCGCGCCTTTGTCATTGGCAGCCGACACGCTTGGCGACTTTCTGTTTAATATGAGACTTCTGGCTATGTCCATTACCTCTTTTAACTTGAACTACGACTTGCCATTGATGGAATATGGTATGGCGGCATTTAGGAGTATATGCAGTGAATGGTATAATTGGCCATTTTTATATTTGGAAGCAATACATGTAGTAGAAGCAGCACATGTAGGGATAATAGAGACAATAGAGGCAATGGGGACAATTGATGCAATAGACTTAGTAGAGATAGTATTGCGTGGACGATACATTTGGAAATTGAAGGATTAATGGAAAGTGGAAGCCTTGTAGCAGTGCTTTCTTGAACTAGCTTTTATGGTACGTGAGATTAAAGTAGTATTTATTACTGTAAGGAAATATAAATTAAGCGAACACTAAATTCTTCTTCTATAACTGATTAAATAAAGTATATAGGTACTTCACAATGACGTGCTACTTTCTCTTCTGTAGAATTTTAAAGAATAGAGATAGCAATAATTAACCTGTTATTAATCCAGTATCCAGCATTAGATCCTAGGTTATAGAACCAAAGTGTAACAAACCATACACTAGATAGTTAGTATAGGGTAGATTCCCAAAGGACAAACCTAGAATAAGTTCTTTAGGTTTATATTAGAGGATAGGTTAAAAAACCTATAGGCAATAATATTATAATAATAGTTATTAATAAAGATTAAAAGTATTTTTTAATTTATAAATATAAAACTATATTAATAACTAGCTATTTAAATTATTTAAAAAAAGCATAAAAAGTAAACTTATATATTTAATTAGCTAAGTATTTTTAATATATTTAATAATTAAATTTATTAAATTATATTTAATATACTTAATAATAAATTTTATTAAATAATCTATAATTAATTAATAAATTATAGTTAATTTATTTATACTTATTTAATAAGCTTATTATTATAACTTTAAGTATTAGGTTATAATATAATACTTTTTTTTTATTAGTTTTATTTTTAAAACTTTATTCTTAAGCTTATATTTTCTTTATTATTTATAAATATTAATTTTTATTTTCTTTATTTTTTTAATTTTTTAATTAATAAAATAATTAACAGTAAATATAAGTATTTTAAATTTTCTTAAGTTTTATAGTATAATATACTTAAATATTTTATCTTATTTATATTATTAATTATAAAGCTTTATCTTTATTATAAAAAATATAATTATAAATATTTTACTTTTAAAAAAGACTTTTTATATTACTTATAGTATATTTATTATTAATAATTAAATTATAAAGCTTTTAGTTTTTTTATATTTTAACTTTAGAAAATAATAACTAAAGGTATTAATTTTAATTTTAAATTAAAAAGGGTAAAGGAGGCTTAGTTAAAGGCTAATATATATATAAAGTATTTTTATATTTAAAAAAAAAAATAATTTAAAAAAATAAAAAAAGCTATTAAGTAAAGGATTAATAATTTAAAAGAGTTAAAGTAGGTTAAATATAAAAAATATAAAGCAAAGGTTATTTACTAGGCTACTTTAGTATTTAATTCTTTTATTAGCTTATTTTAGTCTATTAATAATATTAATTAATCTGCTTTTAATTTAAATTTATTATTATTTCTACCTTTAATAATTAATAAAATTTTTATAGAATTATTTAAGTATTTTTTTTAAATTCTTTTTTTAAAATCTAAAAATCTTTAAATAAATTATATTTTTTTTATTTTATAAGATATTTTTATTTATTTATTTTTTTATTTATTTATATATAAGTTAATTTTTTAATTTTATATTTTTTTTTTTATTTTAAATAATAATTTTATTTATAATTAATTTATTTATTTTTTTATTTATTAATGCCTTTTTTAATAGTAAAATATAGAAAATAGCTATTTTTAATTTTATATTATTAAATAAGTTTAACTTATAGTTAATTTTTTTAATTTTCTTTAAGATTTTAAATAATTTAAGTTTTTTAAAATTTAATTTATTATTTAGTTAATTTATTTTAATATTTAACAGCTTTTTATTATATAAATACTATAATAAATAAACTATATCCCCCTTTTAAAGAGTTAATTCTTTAATTTTTATATAATTAACTTATTATTTTATATAATTTTAAATAAACTTAAGTTATTCTTTAAGTTCTTTTTATAATTAAATTATATCTTTATCTAAAATTTAAGTATTTTTTATATTTAAATTATTATAAAGTAGTCTATAGGCTTTTAGTGTAAATCTATAATTAATATAAAATAATATAACTTTTATAAACTTTAAAATAAAGCTATTATATTAATTTTATATTATAAAAAGCTTTTTTACTTAATTATTTTATATAAAATTAATATAATATTATAAGTATACTTTAATAACTTAATTTATTTTTTTTATTTAACTATTTATTTATAAATAATATATAGTATTTAATTTATAATAAATATTAAATTTAGTTATTAATTTTTACTAAAATTTAAAAGTAAAGGTATTTTCTTTATTTAATATAATTTTTATTAATAATTTATATTTTATAAATATATATTTTATATAAAAATATATTAAATCTTTTATAATATAAGATTTCTTATATAGTAAAAAGTAAGCTTACTTAAAAAGCTTATTTACTATTATAAAAATACTATTATAGACTATATTAATTAATAGTTCCTTTAACTTTAGTAAATTAATAATATAATTAAATATAATAATATATTAATTTTATTTAAAAACTAAAATAGGTTATAATTTTTTATATAGCTAATATTATTTATTTTTTATTTTTTTATATATATTATATTTTTTAATAACTTCTTTAACTTTTTATTTAAATCCTTTAAAGTAATAATAATATAATATATAGTTATAAATAGTTTATATACTTTAATATACTACTATAATTATATTATAATAAATATTTTAAATTACTTTTAATTATAGTTCCTTTAGTACTTAAATTTATTTACTTTATTTTAAAAGTTTATTAATTATAGTTATTTCTTTAAAGAACTATTTTAATTATTAATCTTTAATTTAATCTTTAATTTTATTAAAAATAAAATTTTATTTTTTTATAATAAATAAAGTATTAATTTTAATTTATTTATAATTTCTTTAATTATTTTTATATAAGATTTATACTTTAAATTTAAAAATTTTTTTAAAATATTTTTTTTTTTAACTTAAAGCATTAGTTTTTTTATTTTTTATTTCTTTATAGTAAATAATTTTATAATTAAAGTTTATTAAAAACTTAAAATAATAAATTTATTATATAAAAAGTTATTATATAGTTATAAAGTAAAATATATTTTAATAATTAATATAAACTTTAATTTTATATTTATTTC